TGAGCCGGAGAATCTGGAGAATTGAGAATCTGAAGCTAAGCAGCAAAGCGAAGCGAAGAAACTGAGAACTGAGACGTTGTGATCGCAACAACGTTCGCTGGCGGACTGAAATCGGTCGGCGACTGAGCCCGACTTCAGGTAATACCAAACAGCCATACCCACATACCCCATACCCACATCCATACACCCAGTCTCAACTCGCAGTCGACGTCGCAGCTGGCGTCGCTGTCGGCGTTTCATTTGAGCGCATTGCAATGCAACGATGTGAGGGGGAAAGAGAGATAAGAGAAGGAGGCAAGGAGACGACGTCGCCTCTTCTACCTGCCGGATAACGCGAAATCAAGAAAGGTAGACCCGGTTCGGGATCCGAACTACGAAATACTCTAACAGACCGTTAAAATCCAAGCCCATCTTAACCAAAATAGCGATGATCCCCTGCAAACTGATTATACAGTCATCTACCAAGTTTCATATAATTTGTTTGAAAACGAATAAAATAGAAATCCTTTGGCGGCTTTTATATCTGAATAATGAACCAATGCCGTTCGTGTAAATTAATCCAGGAACCTGTGTCCATTTTGCTCGAATCAGATAGTTATCATTTTATAAAAACTGCAGAATATCAAAAGCCAAATATTTGAACACTTTTTTAAATAGAAAGCGAATAATTGTTATCTAAAATTATAATATATTTTTGAATGACTACTTTAATTTAACTTATAGACGTCACAAATTTATCTATTTTACTTCTGTCCACAAAGTGTATAAAAATTTTCCAATTGATGACATATTCAGCCAAATAGACTTTTTGAAATATCAAATAACGATTTTTATGGTTCCTGTTTTTTCTACAGATTTATACAAATAACCAGAAATATGAGCTAGTGCTATGAATATGCCAAATATTTGAACACTTTTTTAAATAGAAAGCGAATAATTGTTATCTAAAATTATAATATATTTTTGAATGACTACTTTAATTTAACTTATAGACGTCACAAATTTATCTATTTTACTTCTGTCCACAAAGTGTATAAAAATTTTCCAATTGATGACATATTCAGCCAAATAGACTTTTTGAAATATCAAATAACGATTTTTATGGTTCCTGTTTTTTCTACAGATTTATACAAATAACCAGAAATATGAGCTAGTGCTATGACTGATAAATAAGTCAAACTAATGAGTTGTAGTCATTAATCAAAACTGGAAGGCTCATCGATTAGAAACGTTGCTATGACAGTAAGAAAATCGTTTTTTTAGGATAGAAGCCGTTAAAGCTATGACTAAATTTGAACACCCTCAGGATAGGGTATACGAAAGCTAAACAACAACAGAGCCAGTCAGCAGCCTGTTGATATTTTCTTGTTTTCGTTTGGCATGTGGTGTGGTGCTCTTGGTGGTGCTGCTGCCTGGGCCAGTGGTTTCGGACTCGGACTCGGACTCGGATTCGGATTCGAAGTCAGAGTTTCAGTGGGCAGGAAGGTAGGACGCGAGCCACAGAGGCGTAGGCGGTGGGCTGGAACTCGCATTAAAGGGGGAGGCAACCCAGCAGAGGGGAGTGCTCCCATATCTTTCCCATATCGCAGTAATTCCGCGCCGGATCGTAATTCTGTCAAAACGGAGCAACATATTTTATTTGCAACATATTGGGACCAGCCTCCTCAATGCATTATTACACTGAAGGATTAAGTGCGAGGGCCATCATAATATTATATATCAGTGAAATATTACTAAGATTAAATATTCGGATATGTGTATCTCAGGGTTATCGTTTTTTGTCCAATCCCATTTAAATTGACAGAACCTACTTTATAGATTTAAAGAGGCCTTTAAATATAATATTATTATATTATACTAATATTATTATTATCTTATATTGAGATTACTTTAAGAAACCAACCCACATGAGGCGTTGAGGCGTTTTTATTAGATACAAAAGTATTTGTACTATAATTGCTTGATAATTACAAAGTAATTAGTTTTCACATGTAGATTATCATTGAAACACCTATTAAATAGTTCCGATTTCAAGCCTGGTTTACCATCTGTGATACAGACCGATTCGTAGGCAATATTTAAAATGGTTCATTTGAATAGGGGCAGTTCCCTGAAATCGAATGGCAAAATAATAAGTCCAGCTGAAAAGAAAGCAATTAGCTGCTACGGCCAGAATTTTTCTATATATGTTGATTCCAAACAATTAAATGAAAATTCCACCCATGTGAGCTCCGAATTATTTCGGCCAGATGAGATTAAAGACGGCTTTTTCCACCGCCCGCTGTTAAGCGGGGCGCAGCCAATGCCCGATTTCGCACAGTGTACAATTGATCCAAAGATGCTGCGACTGCGCAGGTAGAAAAAAAAAACAAACACAAACAAAGATACAGATACAAACACAAATGCAGATGCAGTGTATCTGTGTGCGGCATTGGCATCTCGCAGCGTCTACTTGTTGTTGTTGATTTTCATCGGCTTTAATGCCTTTGTCTATTTTGGGTTTCTGTTTATGGCGTGGGTTTTTCTCAATTGCATTTTTGGGCGCGCTCTCGACTGCATCAGCTCAAACACAATGACGGGCAAAATAATAGCACTAATTTTTTTGTTTTTAAAAAATAATATACAAAATATAGTTGCGAAACTTTCCAACTTACAATAGCAACAACTATTTTAAAAAAGAAGCCTTGGTTTCTTAGTTTTTAAATTGGACAATTTTCTAGAAATGTATTTTTTCAAAGCTCAAATTGTTCTGATTTCTAGCAATATTGAGGATGCCACATTAATCAGTAAGATTTCAAAATCACTTAATAAGGTGTCCATCAATAATATGCAAAAATAACTATATTTTGAATCCACAAGTCGTCTTATTGATTTATTTCCAAATACGACGTTATTTTGACTTCGCACTTTTATACTAGTGATTTTGTGGCACCCCTATTATCATAAGTTTTAATAACCAGAAGCCTTGGTATTTGCCCACCATTGAAACCTGGTTCCGGAGTTATTATATTTACTTTTCAAATTGCTCTTTTTTAAAAAAATATATTTTTTTTGAAGAGATATAAATCTTAAATTTTAGTTATTCATTTCAATGTTTCATAGAAACGTTTTTATTGTAAGAAAAATGACTATGTAACTCTATTATTTAAAAGGTCTATATAGACAAATAATTTTATAGTCATGTGTTCAAATTCTTTTCTCGATTTTTTAAGGAACTTAAAAAAAACATGTGCTACTGATTTGACTGCTGCTGTGGGTGTCATTTGTATGCGTGTGGAAATACCAGAATTACCTAAATAACAACAAGAATAGCCATGCACTTATATAGCAATGTTTGTAATCGGATCGGATCGGCATGTTGGCCAGTTCTCGATCTCAATTGCTGGCCAAAAGTTTCAGGCCGTTCGAGTGTCGGCTTGTCTGTCTGACTGACGTCCGTCTCTTTCTGCGCCCCATCAGCCTTCTCTTTCTGGCCGCCAGTTCATATGTAATTCGTTTTCTTTTCGCATTCCGATGACATTCCACGGCGTCGCATTTTTGTTTTTGTCACAAGTCCCGACTTGTTGTCACTTTTCAGTGCTCAGTCTACTGTGTTTTCTGTTGTTTGTCTGTTTTCAGTAGTTACCACTCGAGAGGTGGTAACCAGCATTATGCGTTATGCGTTATGCATGCCGCCTGGCATTTAATTCACATTTTAGCACAAATTATTAAATATTTGACAGGCCGGCCGCACAACGAAAGTGAGAGCGATGGTGAAATGGCCGGAGAAGCGACTTCCGTCACTGCTGCACACAGAATGGCTAATTTATGCGATTATTGGCAACGGCAGCCCTGCCATTTGCGGCCGTATTTTTGTCATTTTAATAACTCTTGCATTGTGGACGAGCACTGTGGCCACAGCCGCAGCGCAAATAATCACAAAGCCCAGCGAAACGTGTTCGCCGCAGTGAAAGTAACGGCCAAAGTCAACAGTCAACAGGTAACAGGCACAAGCACCAGGCACCAAGCACCAGGTAGCAACAGGTGGTGATCCCGACGGTCAGAAGCCAAAAATGGCAACCACTCCCATCCCAGATAATCCTTGCCAATTCCGAAAATTTGCAATACTTAAAAGTGGTATACAACATGTCAAGCCATTTATAAAAACACCTACAATAATATCTAAACATGCAAGCTTTTAGAAGCTTCAAATATTTACAAACGTAACTTCGAAAACAATATTATTTAAATTTTTTATAATACATAATATTGCTCATGTTCTATTGCATTCGTTTTTGTTTCTGTAACGGATAAACAAATATGAAAAAATTTTTATTGAATTTTAAAACAAATGAACAATCTTAGTGATAAGCTTATATCTTTGGTAAATATTTACATATACACATTTCTTAATTCCAATTAAAATTCAAATTTAAACCCAAAAACGGCTGTTTTATCGATAATTCAATCGAATATTCGGTTCTTTTCCTTGAGCTATCAGTGCCATCCACCACTGCTTGGGTTTGGTCATTAAATATCTAGACGTGGTTTGAAACTTAACTTACTGGCTTCTTTGTCATTTTTAGGTCCTTTCTTTGCTGTGGAACTTTCGAACTCGCCGGCGATGTTAAATCTGGCTGAAATACCACAACTAGATATTTACACATCTAAAATCGACAAAACTTATGTTTTAAATTAATGAATACATTTTAGTGATTTAAAGCTTTTGAAAAAATAATTCTAGGCAGAAAACAATCAATATTTTTTTTAAAACAAAGGTTACAACTATTTTTTTTGGTATTTATGAAGCTTATGTTATAAAAAAAACAAACAATTAATAGCATTTTTTCTGATTAACAGTTTCGGCAATTTTCGATTCGATATTCTTCAAGTCGGTTAAAAGAAATGTTAGGCGAATTTATTAGGTTTTCTCAGTGGTATTTTGGGTAACTGAAACAGTATTTAACGGTATTTATTTTCGGACCGGATGGTATTTTGTATCGTTGTCGGCGCGGTCACACTGATGCTGAAATGAAATTGAAAATCGAAATCGAAATTGAAAGCAGCGGCCGTGCAGCAATTGCAATTGCGATGCGTGCAATTAATATTAATCCTGTCAACAAATCTGTGCTGAGCGCGCAGTGCAGCCAATAGGAATCAGATCGGAATTGGGATTGCAAGTGGAGACAGGATCGGAATCGGGAATCGGATCGGAAATCGTGAATCGGAGGAAGGAGAATCAACGAAAGAGGCAGCGAAAGGCAAGTGCGATTGCAACTGGAATTGTATTTGTAATGAATGCAAACGGGTGTGCTAGTGTTGATGTTGTGTGTGTGTGCGAGTCTGGCCTGCACTGGATGAGTTTGTGTTGTGTGTGTACGCGAGAGGAGAGCAATAATTAAATTAAGCAAAGGTGTTAAATTGAGCCAGTATGTGTGTGCGTAGGTGTCGTGGCTCTCTCGCAAAGTGTGTGCGTGCATGTGTGTGTGTGTGTGTGTGCGAGTTGTGTATATATGCAGAGTGACAAAATTCTAATAAGAATTTTTGTTATCGCTGCTGCACTCAGTCGCTTTTTTTCTTGCTCTCTCTCTCTCTCTCTCACACACATTCTCTCTCTTTATTTCCCTCCCGCTAGCGGCACCTATATAAAATGGCTTAAAAAAATACTAGCAAAACGTCGTACTACGAAAACGACGACGCACGACATCGGTGGGCGGTGGGCGGCTTTCGGGGGGCGGCTGCCTTTTCCGGCTACTCTATGTGCCCATGTGTGTGTGTACTACAGCGGTACTTTTTACGCACTTCAAAATCCAATTGGCAAAGATGCATCCTTGAAATCGCTCCCAGAAAAATCCCCATTGTAAATCTCACTCAAAATCTGCACTTTCGGAAAGTCTCCTCTTGCAAGCCAAATCAGAATCCAATCCCCACCTAAATCTCTACGCCCAAAAAAAAAAATCTCGTCTGCTTTTTTGGCTTCAATTTCTGCGCACAAGCACGAGCGTAGGTGAAAAGGGGGCGGCGGAGGCGGCGTTGGGCGGAGGGGCGGTGAGGGGGGCGGCCAGGACGACAGGACGAAAAACGGCGCACGCAACTGTCATTGACCTTCAATTGCATTCGTTGCAAGCTGCAGCCGCCGCACCCAAAGGTCATAGGTTGGGATGTGTGTCATTTAATTAATCAAAATCGAACCCTAAAGATCGCAGCTAATACCATTGCCATTCGTTAAATATATCGCCTTTGGAACATCCTTTTTTTGGCCTTATATGTAAATTGGCGAAACATTGTGCACCTAAGGCGGCCAAAACACCGTTGACAAGTTGAACTTTTTCCGCAAAAGCGGTTTTTTTAAAATAATATAAGGCGAAATCTAATCCATCTCAAGTTTTATAAATTACTCGATAGATAACTTCTTTGATATAAATCGTGTCTAGTGCTTTAATTTACAAGACTTGGATATCAATAGTTAATGATTTGGTCTACTTCCTATATCTTTCAAACTTAAAACGCAAGTTTATTTTTAAATGCCTGAGTTTTAATTTTTTAACAACTTGTTTTATGTGTGAATAATCCTTTAAACTTAACCTTAAATTAATAATACACTTTAATCCTATAATATTAATATAATATAATATTGCTTTTAAAAACTTCAAAAGCTTTGTTCTTGCTTGGTTTTTTGTTTTTATTTTCCGTAAAATTAAATCAAACATAACATTTATATTTAATGTACTTTGTACCTAAAGCATTTTAATGATAAATCTTAAAGAAACTTCAGAAATTGCCAAACAAATTAATTAATAATTAATTATAATATAAGAATGCCTTTCTTTTTATTTTGTTTAAACTGTCCAATATAGGAATTTTTTTAGAATTAAAAAAAAAAAGTACCAAACAATTAGTTTTTAATAACCAAGAATCTATTTTAATCTCCCTATTTTGTATCCTTATTATTATGATAGCTGGCTTAAAAACGTTGAAAATGACAATATAATTTCTTGAGATATATCTTTTAATATCCTTGAAAATTGTTTATTAATATCCTGAACCTTCCGTATATCTGCAATTTATAGCTGTTGCCTCTCACCTGAGTCTCTGGCCCGGAAAATGGAATCGTCCATTAAGCTTAAGGACAGCAACTCCAACTGCAGCTCCAATTCGAATGGCAATGTGGGCGGCATCGTGTCAGGGGGCGGAGGCGGAGGTGGAGGTAGTGGAGGAGGAGGAGGAGGAGGTGGAGGAGGAGGCGTATGCGTGTCCAGCATCTGCAGCAGCGATAGCTTCAGCATCATGCCACCGCCGCATCACGAACTGGTCAGTGCCAACAGCATCGAGCTGAATGCGGCGGCCTCTTTGAGCGACGACAGCGGTGTGCCGCTGACCACCAACAGCTCCATCTCCAGTGGCGATTCCTACCGCCTGGGCATGTGCAAATTCGAGATTGAGGTAAGCTCTCGTCATCGTCGTGGTGGTGGCTGGCATGCCAAACCCCTAATCCTGTGTGTGATGACTGACTATTGCAGATGGTGGAGAGCGATGGCGAGGTGTCGCAATTCGATTCACTGGACAATTGCTCGGAGGGCGGCATGAGTGCCGAGAACTTCAATACGCTGAAAAAGGGACCCCTGGCGCCCATCGATCCACCGCCCGAATTCCAGGACTCGCCACAGACCACCCTGGTGCGCTCCATCTCCAAGAATATCGTGAACAGTCTGCGTCGCTGGACCTCCTCGCAATCGTCGTTCGAGCACCTCAAGGACGATGCTGCCACAACCATGATGAGCGGCTTGGCCACGGCTGTCCTGCCCGAGGAACCTCATTCCCATTCCCATCCACATCCTCATCCACATCCCCATTCCCATTCCCATTCCCATCCACATCCGTATCCCCATCCACATCCACATCCGGCTGGAGCACAGGAATTGGTGCTGCTGCTGGCCAAGGCCGAGTGCAAACTGGACGCTTTGGACGGACAGGCCTTGGGCCAGATGAGCCTGAAGGAGTCGTATGCGATCAACAAGCACTTGTACTCCAGTGACTCCATACTGAACAGCCATACGGACAACATCTACGACGAACCGAACAACATTGTGAGCAGCTCGCTGGGCAACAGTGTGGATCTGCTGGAGGAGGAGCAGTCGGAGGCGAGTAGCTGCTCGCCATTGCCATCGCCACCGCCGCCCGTGTCCATTGTGAAGATCAAGCAGACCCTGTGTCCGTATTACCAGGACCACACGCGCTATTTCAAGGCCATACCCACGGAACAGGACAATATAGCCAGTGCCAAGGCGGCGGCTGCCCAGCAGCGATTCAACAGTGCCGGCCTCTCGGAGATCCACGACTATGACCTCTACTACGGCGCCAGGAGGCAGCCGGCGGAGCAGAGCAGTCTGCAGCGACGCCAGGCCTCGCTCTACAGTCCGCTGGGTCACACCAGCCACTGTCACTACCATCACAGCCATGGCCATGGCCATGGGCATGGGCATGGGAATGGGCATGGGTACGGTGGCCATGGGCACCATCATCATCACCACCATCACCACCACCAGCCGGGATACGGCTACAGCCATGGCCAGCGGCCCAATTCGAGGAACTCGCTGAACAGCCGCCTGAGCAGCTCGCACAACTCGCTGAACGTGTCGTCCGCCAACAAGCCCGATGACTCCATCTTCATCACCCAGGCCATGTCCCACGATGCCCTGTTCACGCGCGAGATCTCCGACTTTTATAACGTGCCCATCGATTCGGACATCTATGCCTTCCCCGTCGACATGATCGAGCAGCAGCAGCAGCAGCAGTTGCAGTTGGTGGAGGAGCAACAGCAGCAGCAGCAGCAGCAGCAGAAACCCACTGCACCCACTTACCACAAGGCGAGCAGACGGAATAAGCGGAACAAGCGCAAGCAGCGCTACGGAGGATCGGGCACGGGCGCCGGCACGGAGACCAGCGATGGCGATGGCGAGAAGAGCAAGCATGGCAAGTATCGCACACCCGTGGGAGTAATGGGCGTGGGCGTGGGCGTGGGCGTGGGCATGGGCCAAGTCAGCGAATCGGAGCCATTGCACATGACCCTGGACGAGGTGAAGCAGTTCTATCACACACTCTACTCGGATGCGGGCAGCAAGCCCAATGCCACCGCCAAGCCGATGGTCAAGTCGAGCAACGAGACCATTTGGAGTGTGTCCACCAATACCACCACCACGACGGCGAGAACGCGTAGCAGTGTGGGCACCACCAGGACTGCAGGAGGTGGTGGTCCGTCGGGTGGGTCCAACAATGCAGCCAATGGAGGCGGAGGAACTAGCAGTGATGGTGGTGGCGCCAGTTCCGGTGGCAAGTATCTGAGCAAGCAGAATAAGCACAATCTGGACAACGATAAGCTGAACAACAACAATAACAACAACAACAACCACCATCATCAGCCATCGCAACAGCAGCTGGAGAAGCCACCAACGGAGCACCACAATCACACCCACAGCCAGCAATTGCCGAACAACAAGCACGTCCTGCACTCCGAGAAGAAGTCCCAGTTCACGCTGAATCTGAAGCAGCGCTTCTGCAGCATCTTTCGCTTCCGGCGCAGCAATCACAGCCGCTGCCGGGGATCGGCTGGCACTCAAACGGGCACTCTGGCCAATGCAAATGCAAACGCTGCCGCCGCCTCCGCCGTCGCCGCCGCCGCCGCAATGCCACTGATCCCCAATCCAGCTGCCGTGATAACCAGCGCACCGGGAGTGGCGGGCCAGGCCCAGCTGGCCACCGAACTGAATGGCGGGAATGGCCTGGGAGGAGGAGCATTGATCGCGGCAGAGGCGTCGGACGAACCGAATGCCGATCTGCGCAAGAAGTTCCAGTCCCGTGCCCTGCCACCACTACCAAAGAAGGGTGAGTAGCAGTTCGCTGCATGAGCCACTCACATTTACATAAAAGATAGTTTCGAGTAAATCATGCTCGGAAATGTTTATTTTTCAAATGGCCAAGCTCATGGCTAAGACTCGTATAGGTATTATATTAGATCAGCATTACGAAGAGTAACAAAGTACAGAGGCTAGAATTAAGGTATTTCCCCTAAGTCGCAAACCGCGAATTCTTAAGCACATGAAATAATCCGTCTGTCCGTCCGTTTCTACGCAAACTAGTCTCTCAGTTTTAAAGCTATCTGCATGAAACTTTCCCAAAAGTTGTCTTTCTATAGCATATAACTCCCATTGGAACAATTGGAAAAAAAAAATATGTAACTTTGGTGTTTGGTGGTTTTTTAATTATTTTTTAGTTCTTCGAGATATAGTAATGGTTAAATATTTCAGAATTACGGTTTAAATTTCATCGAAATCGGACGACTATAACTTAAAGCTCCCATGGGCACAATAAAAATATAAAAAAAAAATTTTATAAGTTTAACTTTTTTATTTTGTAATTTTTTTTAGAAATTCTTTTTGATTAATTGATAATTTGACAGTTCAGAATTACGCTTTTAATTTTATTAAAATGGGAAAACGATATCATATAGCTGCCATAGGAACTTTCAAATAATTGAGCTGCAAATCATCATAGCTTCAATGTAAACATACACGCAAGTCAATTATAATTTTAATGTTTTGAAGAATCTTTAATTTTTGCAATAGCTGCAAGGGCATAAGAACTTCGGCTTGCCGAACTTTGCTTCCTTTCTTGTTTAAATAAGATTAAATTGGGATGTCTCACATCTAGCATTTAACGTCGTTGTCCAAAAGCTATTCAGTACACAGCGTTACTATTTGGACAATGAGCCCTATGAACCCAAGATGAGTTTTACGAGCAACCTAAGCTGATCTGATTTCTAATGAATCAAGTATTTGTGGTTCATGGTTTGAACCCTGAACCCAAGAACAAAGATAGATCGATTCCAATGACTGTCCTACATTCCTACATTTCCAGCTGCTGCCTATGCCATTGAAGCCGTTAAGACGGAACCGGAGGAGCTCAAGACGAACGTGGTGCAGGAGCCGCGGGCGCTGCAGTTCACCTCCAGCATTGAGAAAGTCAAAGACGTAGGTTAAAGGGTGGGACTTTCCCTTCCCACGCCCCCCCTTCCCCTTCCCAACCGAAAACAACGGCCTAATTGTATCCCGATCTTATCCCGCAGTATGGCTGGTACTGGGGTCCCCTGTCCAGCGAGGCGGCCGAGAAGGTCCTCTCCAGCGAACCGGATGGCTCCTTCATCGTGCGCGACAGCTCCGACGACCACTACATCTTCTCGCTGAGCTTCAAACTGAACAACTGCGTGCGCCATGTGCGCATCGAGCAGGATCAGGGTGAGTGAGGGCGATTCTGAAGACATTGTTTATTGTATTTATATCTACCGATTCGTAATACGTGTAACGATATCTAAACATACAGCTGCGGTCATGGGTATAGTAGTGGGACAATCTAAAGTCATGGGACAACTTATGTTTTAATTTATCTCAATGTTTAGTCAACAATGTACAAAATACGCCTCAAATAGCTTTTGACATTCTTTTAGTTTTTCAATGAAAATTTAAACTGTTAATAATTCTGTACAATTCACTTTTCTAAATACTGTAGTAATTAATTTTAAACAAATTGAAGAACCTGCACTTTGTTTTTAATATATTACCTACTTATAAATTAAAATAAAATAGTTTGTCAATATTTTTTATAAATATTTTAAAATATACCTATAATAATATGGATTTCATATGTGTCATATTTAAGTATTAGCTTCAACAAATGTTCAAAAGTAGCTTTAAAATAAATAAATTAATTAATTTATATAAGCTAAAAAACTAATATTTGCATGACCACAGCTGTATACATAATGAATATAATAAATATGTACATAACGTAGATACTTAACGATTTTAATAAATATGTACAAGTAGTATAGAACTCACGACTTTAATATAGACTCAAATATATATATAACGACCTAAATGTGTGTCTAACAAAACCAAAACAAATTTACTTAAAAGATCAGATATTTTAGCTTTATCTATTCGCTTATTGTGATAGGTTTCGTATTTACATATATGAAATAGTAGATATTCTTTCGGTAGACATTATATGAAAAACTTCTAAAAAGATAATATTTTTTGTAATTCTTTTAAATATTTTTCACAACTTTTTGGAAAAAAACTAATGTTTGACAAACTTACTTGCTTAAATTAAAATAATTAAAAAAACTTGCTTACAAAAATAATTAAAAATACTTCGTTCAATCTATAGATGTTGGTATCGTTCATGTAAAAATCTTATAGAAATTCATATATTTCCGAAAGTATTTAATCGACCGAATTCAAATGAAATAATTAAATAATAAATATGCAATTGCAGTTATAAAATCGTAACACCTATGTAACCCCTTAAAAAACTATGAGTATGGACTTCCAAAGCCATAAACTAATCTGCTGAAAACCCAAATTAATACATTTTAAGCGTATACTGCTAGGTAATAGCTTAAACTTAAGACATCGGGGATAATATAACTCCTGTATTTATATGAAGATTTCATTTATCGACTTGTACCAAACCTTATGAATATCTCATGTACTTTTGCCAGGAACCTTTTCCTTCGGCTCGTACGCCAAGTTCAAGTCGCAAACTATCACCGAGTTCATTGAGAAGGCGGTCGAGCATTCGCGAAGCGGCAGGTTAGTGCATCCCACTTAAATCCACCATATCAGGGTCATCCAAAACTATATTCCACAGATATCTTTTCTTTCTGCATCGTCGGCCGGAGCACGGACCAATGCGTGTGCAATTAACCAATCCAGTATCTAGGTTTAAGCATGTACAAAGCTTGCAGCACATGTGCAGGTTGGTCATTATTTTCTGAATCTAGCTTATCTTTTGGCCATGTTTGGCATAGATATATATATATATATAAATTGTTATTTATAAACTATCATTGTCGTCTGCTGTTCTTGTAGATTTGTTATACTAAAGGCGGTTATACGAAAGGATCTTATACAGACATTGCCATTACCGAGAAGACTTCTAGACTATCTTAACTATAAGCACTGCTACTCCGAGCAGGTGGAGAGCGACAGTTCGCATTCGCAGGTATGTTAATCACCAATTAACTGGGCTAAGTAATAATATATTTGTAACTTTAAAAATGCTTACAGTGATTTGATTTCAAATGTAATATGCACACTTATAGCATGTCGATTTTTAGCCCCTTTATCTATCTTATTTTATTTATTTGTTCTATATTTTACAGATATCTGGCGATGGAACAATGTAAGAGAACGGATATAGAACAGTGACGATTCGCTTGTGACAACAAAACGTAAACGAAAGCAACAGAAATTATTACCTTAAATAAGTAGTAGAATTTAACGAAACATTAAACAACGGCGACAAAGCAAACAAACAAACAACCGTTAAGCGTTCTGTATAACAAGAACCGCAAACAAAAAAAAAACAAACAAACACCAAACAAAAACAAAAGTTACATGAGTAAGCAAAGCGAGGAAATTGTTAGTTTTGCTAAACAAAAAAAAAAAAAGAGAAAAACGAAAATCGAAAAACGACAAACCAGAAAAACCAAGAAAACAAAATTCAAAACTCTGTTTATTGATCATTTTTTTGTACTCGGTGCTATACTATAAATATTAACTATTTAATGAAAGGAATGCAGAAAAAAAACAAGAATATGACGATTATATAAATTAATTATGCGTAGTCAAGTAAACGAATAACACAATTGTACATAAATATGTTTGAGAGCCAGTAATCCAAGTCCCACCCACAAGCATAGCCAACCACAACCCCCTCGAACCCTTACCCCCACCCCCACCCACAGCCCCACCCTCCCCTTTGGGCACGAATCAGACAGAGAAGGCGACAAGGTCGTTGATGTTTTGTGTAATCAATTAATTACTTTTATGCTTGCCTTTTAGCTGTGATTTAACCAAGTCGTCGAATGTTGAATGGAAGGCGACTTGCAGTTTTGTATTTAATAGATTTGATATAGCCTAGCCCCCATGTAGTTGAGGTTCTGTTACGCACACTCGATCTGAAACCATTTCGAGGCTGCTCAATCATCCACCAATGCCAGTGCCCAGAGGTCCTTGAACCTTAAACAAAAAGCGATCCCCCGCAGTTGGAGATCGAACATGTAGTAACCATTATTGCACTTAGTTTAATCCATGTCATAAACTCAAACGAAGTTGTTGAGCAGAGCAATTGATGGAAATCACACACAGAAGAATGATGGGAAACCAACAACCAATACTTGTATTTAGACTTATTTGAATTGTTAACTAATTTTTGTTTTCGGCTTTGTTATTTATGTTTTAAGCTCAACTCTTTTGTACTCTATATTTTATGGTTTGTTTTTAGTTTGTATTTATTTGAATTTTCTTTTTTTTTTTTTTGTAAAATTAGGTATACGATATAAGAAAACCTCCTCCAATCCAATCCAATCCAAGCCAAGCCAAGCCAAATTCGAGTCCGTCTTGGACTCTGATCCTCCTTGAACATTAAACAAACAATATTTGTCTATGGAAATTAAAATAAACGAATGACGATAGAAATACAAAGCAATGCAGATGATAAGAGGGCGAGGAAAGGAGAACGATCGGTCACAGCAAATGAGCAAAACAACAAAGGCAATATAAAGAAATTTTTAATAATAAAAATTAAACAATGAAATTTTTGCATCGGTTGCTTTTTTTGAGGCATACATTTGGGGCTCTGAAAAAATTGATTGGGTAAATTTAATATAATTGTTTTCTGTGGATTTTTCGAGGCCTTTATCAAAACATCAAAGATCATCCAAATTTTCCTTCTACATTTCTTGTCCTATAATATTAAATTGATCATATTTCTATATATCGAATGCAACCTGATTGGTTTTTATTTAAATCAAAAATCAAATCTAATTAAATTGAGTTTTGTTTTTTTGTTGAATTTTTTAAACAATTTGTATCAAATAAATTGCAATAAAATCAAAATTCTTCATTTTTTAAAGGACAGATAGAAGGAGAGCAACCCAAGCCTTTAAAGCTGAAATTAAATAAGTATATAGACTCGTCAGCTTTCGATCCAAACATTTTTGGGAATTTCCATGACCGTGCACTTTTGGCGGGATTTTCTAAAGTTTTGTTTTCGTGTGAATCAGAATTAAAGATACGATTTTGAGCTCATAGGAGCAAAATTTGCTCTTATCTCAAGCGAACACTGACTATTTAAGTCGGACTAATGTCCGAAGTCAAATTAAGTTTAGTTCCGACTCGCCCAGTGCCTAGACATAATGAACTCGCGCTGGTTGCCGATTTTTCTGGCACTATGGCTTTCCTTAGCCGCCGCAGATCCAGTCAAAAATATGGACAATCAGTGTGGCGAACATTGCTTGAATATATTGAAGCCCATGTTCGATCATCTTGAACAGCTTAAGGAATTATCCGATACCAACAGTGAACTGAAGGCGAGACTAAACAACAACTCGCAGACAATTAACGACTTGCACAGTCAGGTAATTATTGCTGAGCGAGAAGTCAAGACCAAGGACGACCTAATAATGGTGCAAAAAAACCACATCGAGAATCAAAGCGAACTGCTCCATAACAAAGCCGAAAAAATAAATACTTTGAGTGAAAGTATAAAAGAAATGCAGATTCTTTTAGACCGTTCTTCGGATCAAATCAATATCCTTGAATCACAAATCAGTGCTCTGAAAGAAAAACTGGGCACCCAAGCTGCCCAGCTAAAGGATCAAAAGGAGCTGCACAATTTGGTAAACAAAATGACAAAGGATATAATTGAATTGCAGAGTAAGTTGGCAACTGTCACAGGTGAACTCGAAGTTAGGAACCACCTTATAAAGAAAAAGGATTCGCAAATTAGGGAGCAAAGTAAAGACATCACGACCAAAGACAACCAAATCAATGGCTTAAGCAGTGCAGTAAAAAAGGTTTCCAAGGAATTAACCCTCGCAACCGATGATCTGTTGAAGTGCAATGGCACCGATAGATGTCCCATTGGCAGTCCAAGGGGAATTTACAAAATAAAATCACACGGATTGAAGCACTTCGAAGTGCCGTGCAACGAAACCGGTTGGATGACCATTCAAAAGCGGTTCGACGGCTCCGAGAATTTCAATCGACCCTGGCAGGACTACAAGAGCGGATTCGGCGATGTTAGGGCCGAGTTCTTCCTGGGACTGGAGAGAATCTACCAGATGACAAAGGACGTTCAGCACGAGCTCTACATCAAGCTTGGCATGTTTTATGGGTCGACCAGCTACATACATTACGACGATTTCAAGATCGGCAGCGAGGCCGAATCATACTACCTGAAATCACTTGGGCAACATAATGGTCCGGCCGGAGATTCTCTAACTTACAATTTGAACGACAAGTTCAGCACATTCGACCGGGACAATGACAAGGCCAAGGGGAATTGCGCTGAAGATCACGCCGGTGGTTGGTGGTACAAAAGATGCTGCATAAGGTATGTTTCAACTAAAATTAACGAATTTAATTTACATCGTTTGAGCCAAATGGCCCACTAAACACTTGCATTTGCAGCACGCTGAATGCAAAGTACTATAAGGATGGCATAAGACAGGACGGACCCCAGGGACTTCAATGGGGCACCTGGCAGAACTACAACTACAATGTGTCACTCACCTTTTCGGAAATGATGATAAGGCCCAAATCCCGATGAACGCGAACCCAATTTCTTCGATACACGGTCATTCATGTATAGTTTTTAAATAGTTTGAAATACTTAGTTTACATTCGACATTTCATTTTACATTCGACAAAACGTAGTCTACATCTTTTAACAGACCCACTTCAATTTGATTCTTTGCTCCTAGGTGGCGCCAGTCTATTTGGTTTTTGCATGAAAATTGGTTTACCATGTTTTAAATAATTGTTTAACAATGTTACGCCAAAATGATTTTCTGCACAACAAGATTGGTGAACATTTTATTTTACTGCGTGACACACATAACACACTTGAACTTAAAAAAAAATGTTTGGCCATTTAGAAGTTTTTAAAATATTAAAGTCTATGGGATTAAAAACAACTTTATTTTTAATAGTATTGATGCATAATATTTTATTTACATTTATTTATATTTTTTAACATTGAAATGCCTCATTAAAAAGCTTCAGCTTAACATTATCTTGTAGGATAATTTCTTAAAAATAAAATATTACAAATCGACCGAAATCAAGTTAAATTTAGTTCAGAATGTTATATCATTCATGATTTTATTGAACTAATAAGAAGAATTCTAAGTTGTTAATGAGTTAAAATTAATGTTTTACGAATTTTGTATTTGTTTATTGATTTTTGTTAAATAAATGCAAATTTATAGGGCTAAAACCCCCAAAAAGCAATCTTTAAAATACTTCAATAAAAACAATGAGTATTTAAATATGAACAAAATTTTACGATAAGTTCATATGCAGTACAGTAATACAGCATTCCTTTGGTCAACTTTATCTGACATGCTGCTTATCAATACGACTTTAAGTGCGGTTTAACCTACAACTTTCCCAATTACCTTGCGTCTGTCCACAATGGTTTCTAAAGTAGGTATAGCACTCAGACGACCGTAGATCAATGAGAAACGTATTACGCAATAATAAAAACTGTCACCGAATGGCGGCGCCGGGATTGGGATTTTCAACCCATTTTCAGGTAACGCCATGAATGCCGGGAAATTCCAGGGGATTTCCAGTAGAGCAGATCATTCATGAAATTGTGTCGTGGACACGTGTTGTCGATTACCTGAATCCTCCCGATCCCTTCGAGACTTCAAAACTAGGTAAGTATATGCTGATCAGGTAGTGAACCGGGGTTTTCCAACGGTTTTGTGAATGAAACGTCTCTCGTATATAATGCGATCCCAAAGGAGAGGGGACAATCAGAAGTCCAGAAAACCTCAAGCGATCGACACATCGAATCCATTCGAAGTTCAGGAGTAAAACACAAGGAAAACCGCAAATCTGAGAGACATGGCAGTACTGAGGATCACCGCATCCACCATCGTGTGCCTAACCATCATTCTTTCTGGCAATGCGCTGGGCGCATCCATATCTAGCGGAACCGGAATCGGAACTGGAAGCCAAGGACGACCCCAAAGGATCGGGGAGTGCCGGGAGCTCTGCTACCGCCAGTCCCTGCCGATGATCACGCCCCCCTCCTGTGCCGATCCCGGCCAGAGTGCTACATGTGCCACGACTACTGCCGCGTCCTCGAGGTCGTCCAGCTGAGTCTGGCCACGTCGATGTGCGCGGATCGGGAGTTCTGCACCCGGGGATGTCGGGTGGCCTGCTCTTATCACCGCCTGGGCCTGGGACTACTCCACCAGGACACGAGTGCCAATGCGGTGCTCAAGAAATAAGGCGGCGGAGAAACGGGGATATTGATACTTGTAAATACTCACCTACTTTAATTGCCTACCATAAGTGTACAGTTCGTATTAGACTTGATAGGAAAATTAAATCAAATGAAAACTAACAAATCCGTTTTTTTAAACTATTAAACATAAACTATTCGGGGAATCATTCTAATTTAAAATTAGTTGGGACTAAATATGGTGCACATAACAATTCCCTAGAAAAATTAACTTGCTATGGGATTAAATTGCAATCTTAGACAAATAAACCACAAATCGTTTTGCATTTCATAAACTTTTGTTTTAGAAATCCCAAAATCTAAATATGTTAGGCTTCCTTAACAAATCTGACTCTTGTACTGTTGTACCTGGGACATATGGTTCAAAATTTGGAATCGTTAAGATCGTCATAATAAATTAAATCGATTTACAGCTAAAAATCATAAATTTTTGGAAAAAAGTCATGAAAAATGGGAAATTTAGTCATAAAAACAAACACTATTATAGCTATGTGTCTTACTTTGGTCAAGTTGCATTTCAAAAATCTGTTTTTTTTTTTATCAGAACTCTTGGCGGAAATTGTTAAATGTTGGAATGTCGTATACCGATGAATTAGTCTTTAATTTTCCAATCAAATGAAATTCAGAGCTAAAAATTATGGGGTATGTTGAAATTCAAACAATTTTCATATCAAATCAAAACTGAATTTTCTAAATAAATCAAAAAAAATTAAAAAAAAAACAGTTTTATTGTTGGGAATTCTCTATAAACAATGCAATCAATTTTGAAAAACAATTTCTGCGAAATATTGTTAAATATCGGATTGTCATAGCTTGTTGAGTAAAATTTTCAATCGATTTAGATACAGATAAATAAGTAAGGTATGTAAGTAAGCAGGATATGTTTTACAAAATTTCTTTAAAACCTTAAAAGCTTAATTGAGAGTGTTTTCATTTTATAATTTACCAAGTCTACATACTCACTATTAATTATTTAGGAAAGTAGGTTGAATTTGGATAGCCCAAAATGTTTTCAAACCCTACATTTTAGGGGACTAGAAATATGAAAATCGAAAATCAGCTGGAAATCAGGGAAAACATGTAAACCTCGCCAATTAGTGGTTGGGCAAATGGTTATTAGTTCATAAAAAAGAAAGTCAACTGCGGACAGTTTTGGGCCTGGGCTCTGCACTTCTCACGAACGGGATTGGCAATGTGAATTGGTAACTGGGAATTGGGAATTGGTAACTGGGAATTGGGAATTGGCCAGGCTGTTGCCGCCAGCTGTTGCAGTTGCTGTTTTTGGCCCGATCCCGAGCCCGATCCCGAGCCCGATCCCGATCCGGTCTGGATGTTGGCTTTATTAATCACCGGCGGCCAGGAGGCCAAAAAGCAGGAGGATGAGCAGCAGCAGCAGCAGCAGCAGGAGCATGAGCATGAGGTTCGAAGTTGAAGCCTGCACGAAATAATTCAAGCTTGCATATATATGAAGGAGAATGCAGAAAAAAAATTAAATTAAAAATGCGGCGCACATAGAAAAAGGGGCACACAACAGGTGGCCCAGTTGGTTCGCCCGACCGGCCACGACCGGATATTGACTGGCTCTTCGATCGCATACAGCATATAGCATATAGCATATAGATATAGCAAGCTATACAATGCCACGACATATGGTATGGCGATCCGAATGCATCGATAAGGAGGAGACCTAACGGTTACCGTCCTCCGACCATTATAATCGCCATCATCGGCAGCATCAATATTTTGTGACTCCCCTTTAAATTGTTTGCCTTCACACCTAATTACATAATTGCATAAAAATGCAGCCATCCGGATTTCGAATGGGTTTGCAACACCACCCGACCCCTTAACCCCCCGCTGTCCTGCTGTCACATAAAACCGTGGCGAGCGCATAAAAAGCGGCAGCGATGATCATAAAAAAATCGATTTGAAGTCTATAAAAATCATATCATACAAATTTTTATATGGCCATGCTCGTTTTTAAAATGTCACGTCGGGAGAGCTGGGCAAAGGGGGGATTTTTCGGGGGAGAGGGGTCTGACAGGCTAACGAACTGAGCGTAAGCCCCAAACACACAAGTCAAAGAAAACAATATTAACAAAGACGGTGGCTTAACAGAAATGAAAATAAAACCGATGTCTTGTTGCCCTGGACTCAAAAGTTAGTTGCATACAAAGTACTTAGTAAAATACTCAAACGTTTTATGGCATATTTTAAAAATTCAATGAAATTCAGATTTTGTTAAAATTAAAAAATGAGCGTACTTTTTTTTATAATTTTTTTAAATATAAATATCTTATATATTGTTTCACTTTTTTTGTGATAACCATATATTAAAATTAAAAAAAAAAGATACATGGTTCATATTAAAATAATGCACAGAATTACAAATTTGAAAATTCAAAAACATAAATAAAAATTAAAGAAATAATACAAAAATAATATTGTATTAGTTTGTGTTTAGAAAATATTGGTATACGTAAACCAAATTCCTTGATTTCAGCTAAACTTGCCTTCATTCTAGGAATAAATGCCTTGAATTTGAGGCTTCCATTTTTAGGCAATATTTTCCTAAATTTTGTATGGAAGGCTCAAATTCTTTAAATTAAGTCTATTTTTTCTTAAAATCGAGAAATTTTCTTTTCTAAGTGTATTTATTAACAGTTAAAATTAAACGAATGTCGCTTGAACAGTTGTGTATTTTTTTGTATTACATATAAATCATTTCTTTTTAATCACATATGGAAAAATGTATAGAAAGAACAAGGTTTATGTTACCATACACTTTCCTCAATAATCTTCCAAAACGAATGAAAAAGTCAATACCCCTTCCAAAAACCGGAGAGGCGAAGATTTCGAAATGGAAAACTAAGCTGCGTTTTGAAAGCAAATTAAATGCCACGACAAATGGTGCAAGAGGAATGACAGATAAATTTCCCATTGACCAACAGGTGCCTGGCGATGTAATGGGTATAGGAATGGGTATAGGAATGGGTTCCGGAATGGGTTTCGGAATGGGTATGGGCATGTGGATTTCTACCAAGACCCCTCCACATACCTCATACCCCCCCCTCCGTTACTTGAATGCTTCTCCAGCGAATTGAAAACTTTTCTCGATGATGCAATAAATTCACAGATAAATGTTAATTTACGAGTGGAGGAGAGCAGACCGTGGAATAGGGGGAGGTGGCCCCGCGACAGGCAGTCTGGCATTCAGGCTTTCTGGCATTCTGGGCCCTTCCTCCTTAGATGTGCAGGGGGATGCCCCCTTTTGGGGCCCCCTCAAGATTATGATTATTGAAATGTTTTTCGAGCTCGTCAAACGAAACCAAACGAAACGAAACGAAACGCGGCGGGCGTGCAAATCACGAAGTGCTATATCCAAATCCGGATATTTATACCTGTATTTGTACATGTGCAGCTACGTATTAATTAATTATAAGCCACAAAGACAGGCACCTCCAAAGCTCCGAATCTCCGTAGCTCCATCTCCTCATCCACCTTAACTTCCACCTCCATAACGTGCACGAAGGTGAGAAATCAATTTTCAGTATCTCGCTTTGTGTTTAATATTTTTCCAGTGAAATGCGCCGACCAGCCGACGATGATGAGCCTCAGTTTTGGCTGAAGCTAAAGCTGAAGCTTCAGCATTGGCTTCAGTTTGAGCCCCAGGCATCGGTTGTGACGGAGGTTCAGGTTCAAGCACTTGCAAAAAATTATTTTGCATTATTCTATACACAAGGTACATATTAGTTCACCAGAAAATGCATATGTTTAAAAAACTATAAGTAGCTAAAAAAAAATATGAAATTTATAATACTTAACCACTCTCATACAACGTATTTGTTATTGGGACATTCTTATTTCAGGATTATTAATACTATTCTTTAGAATATGACATTTTTTGATATATTGGAAAATAAGAGAAATAACCAAATGTTGACTATTAACAAAAAGAAATCGCTTAAAAGGTACGATTCACAAGAAACTTATATGCATTCCATTTCTTGAAGTGCACCTCATACTGGGATTCTGTTTAGGTCGCTGTTCTGGGGCACGTAAATTAGGATAACAACGTGAAACATAATTATTACTTTGGACAGATATGGCAGCGTCTGCTGCGCCTGCGCCCGAGTTCCTCAGTTCCTGAGTTCTTCAATTCTCAGTTTCAGTTGGAGTCCTCATTCCCTTACCCATACCCATACCCTACCCAATCCTGGCCAGCGTGGCCCAAATAAATGTATTAAAGTTGGTTAACGCCTTCATTTCGGGGCCGCTCTCTTGTCCCGATCGACTCGAGGTCGCTTTTCTGGGTCCCAAAGTAGGTGTAATAAAAAATATGAATTGTTGTTGTATTAAGATCCATCCAAACGGAAAACAGCAAACAGAAAACAGCAAACGGCAAACAGAAAACAGCAAACAGCAGGCAAAGATCATTCAGCGCTTTTTACGACCCGCAACGAATTGCAAGTCAGCAATTCGTGTGAAATACTCGCATGCATATTCGGTTAAGCCCAAAAGTTAATCCAACTTATGGGAAACATCCGTCGTGGATCAGGGCTTATTGCTAGAAATTTAAATTAGATAATTAATATATTATTCTATGATGTTTATTGCCACAACAACATAAAGACAATTATGGTTATTTTCTATTTATGATTTTTCAGAGCTTTAAGAGCTTATTCTTAGAGCATTAGTCACGATTAATGTAGAACTCAAGTGGGTTCATGTCTCAGATTTATATTTTTATAGTCATAATTTAAAGTATATGTTTATGGTACAATGCATAATATTACAATTAAAATTTTTTAACTTTTTCCATGATGAAAAATAATATTGTTATATAAATACATTTTATATGAAGACTGCAATACACTATCGAAACCCAATAATGAACAGTAAACGAAGTTTATTATTCAAAAAGGCCACATTATTTATTTAATGAATGAATCTGTTTTCAAATAAGCTCAATTGGCTGTGCAATAAACATATTTAAGCAATTGAATTACCTGACTACAAATGATTGTGCAATGAAACCAGTTAAGTATTAACATAGAGTTGGTTTTTTTTTTGTTGAACAAATTGGGGGCTCACGGATTGAATGTATATTAAAAAACGACATTGGTTGTGTTAAAGAATAACAACTACAGTTTTTACATAAATGATCAAGTTTCATGTTAAAAAAACGAGTAAGATAGTTTACATGTTATGCGGCATAGTAATTTAATGACAAATTACCATATCGAACTCAAATCAATAAGAAATTTTTAAATTTATGCTTAAAGTAATAAATATTATGTAATAATATATTATATTTATAGATAAGCCCATCATTGAACTTACAAGTTAAGAAATTGAGTATATAATAAACAAATAAATAAATGCACAGTAATGAATGTAATAGTACATTTTAATTAAGGTTCATTTTATAATTAAAGTAATAAAGTAAAATGTATTATTTAATAACATATTTTAATATAAGTTTATTATTGAACTTACAAGTTTTAAAATTAAGTTAATACCAAATAAATAAATAAATTCACAGTTGTTTTTCTTTGATGCTTATGACAATGTATGTAATAAAACAATATAATTAAGGCATATTATTATTTCAAACAAATTCACTGTTTCTTTGCTTGAATACATGTATTTGAATCGCTTTCGTAACTTATAAATAAATTAATCATATTAAAGTTGCCCAGTTTGGTCACTTAACCCCTAATTTAATTAGAGCCTCTTTTGTGCACTTCGATTGGTTAATTGGCATTTGATCTTTGGGCTCATCAGCTAATTAACGACCGCCGCCGATCAGCAGACAATCCCCACCAGCTGCGACCGCCGGCCACCCGCTGGTGGTTCGGATTAAGCTCGATTCTCTGCGGATGCCCAGATCTCCAGATCCCCAAATCCCCAGATCTCTAGATTCCCAGATCTCCAGGATTCCCAATAGGAAATGCCACGAAATCGAAAATGCAAAACGAAATTGGCAACAGAGACAGAGTGGGACTCTGGTTTCGTTTCGTTGTTTCTGTTTCTGAATCTGATTCTGTTTCTGTTTCGGTCTCTTTTCCTGATTTTTTCTTTTATTTCTGCAGAAAATACAGAAAAAAGGAAACGTGGGCCGTGGCCGTGCGTAATGAAGACGTTAAGCTCGGAGGATCAGCAGTGGGCTATGGAGTCGAGCGGATCTTTAAGAGAGCTGCCAGGCATACGTTGCCGTTACAGCCCAGCCCCATCTCCTCCATTTCCATCTCCAAAACGATTCTCCCGTCTTACCCTCTTTGCCGATTCTCGCTACACAGTGAAAAACTGTTAGATTATTTGTATATTTTTAAGGTAAACCTTACTTTACCTAAAGTAAAAGTACAAAATGGCCTTATAATCCTTTCTCTGGATCCCAAATATTATGTCATTAGTTTCAATTCATTGAGGAGAATTGTGATATTGGAGTAGTAGCCAATAATGCATACCTCCAACTGTTGAGAAGTGTGTTTTATTAAATGTATAATGTATTAAATTGATATAAACTTTAATTGAGATATGATATTTCCGAATTATATCAGAAACTAATAAAAAACTTTTGTTTTTATTGTTTGTTGTAAAGATCGCCAACAGACAAAGTTTTAATATGGTATGATCAAAAAAAATTTTTTTTTAAATGTTGAACCCCTTAAAGATAGAGACTATATTATGTATTTCTTAATAATGTGAATAGTACTTCAACAAATATATAAAAAATATATTTTTTTAGAAGAAAACTCGTCTTGAAGGGCTTCTTTTCTTTTTTATTCTACATAAAATTCAATTACTAAAATGCAGTTAAACTTCCCGAACTCAAACTACCAACTGCCAACATATATATTTGAGTTATACAACTAATTTAAGCATTGTATCTGTTTCTGTAAACAGGACTTCCTTTTCTCGCTGTGTGCGTAACTCTTTGAGGCTCGTTTCGGTTCCGCTTGCATGTTAACTGAAATGAAAATTCGTATGAAGGCGAGAAATTAATGAATCATTCACACCTGCATGACGGATTGTCGGCATTACTCGCCACTCTGCATCCCCACTCACACTCACCTGGGTTTCGGGTTTCGGGTTTCTGGGTTTGGGTTTTGGGTTTTGGGCTTGGGATTGGAACTGGATTCGGAAACGGACCGGGTTCGGCTCCATTTTGTGGGACTGCCCCTGCCCGGCACCTTGAACTGAACCCCGAGTGCGAACGGGGGGCGCGGCTTGGCTGACGCTTCTGCCGAAGGAGTTGCCTTCTAATTTATTTGCCTGATGTGTGTATTACATTTGTGAGTTGGTCTGCGTCCACTGTCCACTGTCCGTTGACCGGCTGTCCGCTGTCCTTGCACCCGTCTCTTTCGAACCGCATATGCCCCTCTCTTTCAATGTCCCTGCTCCAACAGTCGCGAGCTGCATTTATGAATTCGCCCCGAGGTCGAAGCTGCGACTCCTACTCCGAGATTCCAACTGATGCTGATGATGCGACGGGTGATACAGTTGCTGCGCTGCAGCACGGTGGATTAAGTGGTTGGTGTGAAACGCACATAATGCCAGCGATAAGTGATCAATGAGTATTTTAATTGAATTCAAAACCATGATTTAGAACAAAAGCGGTGGATACGTGAAAGAGAGGTTTAAGATTGAGCATTATTATCTGATATATAAACACGAATAAAATCTACTCACTACTTTTTTGTAGTATTTTGTATTTTGTAGTTGTTCGCGACTAAAAACGTTTTTAAATAATATTTTCTTTGAAAAAATATGTTAAAACAAAGTATATAAACATTTAACATAAATACATAAACGTTATCGAAATTAAAAAAAAACAACAAAAAGTGTGAGCTTACTGTTTTAAAGGGATTAATTGAATAAAAAAATAAATTGAATTTCAAAAATGTGCCCCTCTTTTATTTAAGAAAACCAGAAAATAAAACAAAAAACAAACATTTTTCAAACTAAAAAAATTAAATTTAAGTAAAAAAAAATTATAATAATAAATGTAAGGTTTGGTTTTATTTAGTTATGTATATCACTTTAGTGGTAATGACTATTTGGCATACTTATTTTGACACTGACTTTTCCCGATGCGTTCCACCGTGCGAGCTGCGTGTGAACTTGATGGATGCACTGCCTCCGCCTGTTGAAGCTGCTTTTCCTCTCCGTTTTTTTTATGTCTTAACCCTCGAGAGCCTTCGGGCAGTTGGTTGGAAATTAAAATGCACTCGCATTTTGGCATGCGTATTCCTAACCGTACTCAAATTCACACACGCACACCCTTGACCCCCAGAATAATAAAAAATACCAGACAGAGGTGAAAAGTTTGGAGTTTACGGATTATATTCTCACTTAGTTCTAAGCTAGCCACCGAAGTTGTATGCTTACTGCTACCCACATATGCTACTACCATTCGATATTCGTTATGAGCCCAATAGGGATTCGATGCTGAAGGGGGAGCTGTATAGGGGTTTACTTTGTGAGGGGTTCGGTGGAGTAGCCGCCTCCAGTTTGATGGGTACCCCCAAGTCATCGGAATCCAGTTCGCTTTGGTAGGCTCGCGAGGAGCAGAATGAGTTGGCCTGACTGTCGCCGTTGTTGTCCTCCTGACCCTCGCCCACCACATCGATGGGCAGGTCGTCATTGTCATCGTCACAGCATCCCCTGCCATCCAGATCCAGATCCCTATCCATATCCTGATCCTCCCGCCAGTTGTCCTTGTGGGCGGCCAGGTAATCCGCCTGCAGCCGGCCAAAGTCCACTTGGATTCCCTTGAGACGCAGTTTCCGCGCCTGCCGTTCGATGGCTTTCTTCATCCGTTTCCTAAGTTGAGCTCTGAGCAAGGGGGATTTGGTTTGGATCAGGATGGGGGTCACCCTTCTGCATCTATACCCTTCCGTTCCTGTACTCACCGATCTCTGGCCCGAAGTTCCGACAGCGGAATGGGTGCTCCACTGCAGCTCTGGGGCTGGGCATTGTGCGCCGGTCTGCCAGGACCCTTTTTGGTGTGATCCTTTTTGCGCCACTTGGCCCGACGGTTCTGGAACCAAACCTGCGAAATTAAATTATTTAATATAGGAAATTATTCAAAATAATATTGGTTTAATTATAGCCTGTGGGATGTGTAAAAATAGTATATATTATAAAGATTAAGTTAAATTATCTTGTTTCAATTAATACACTGATAAAAAGTAGAATAGTAAAAATAAATTTCTTTTGAAATTTAATATTAAAATAAAATATGAAATCATAATATTAAATACAATGCATATTTATTTACATGATTTTATAATAAAAATGTAAATTAATGTGAAAAATATTACTATTTGATTTAAATGCATTTTATTTTAGTTAGGTATTTAAAACAAATCCGAAAATAGTCAAATGAAAAATTAAACAATTTTCTAATATTTCTCATATTTAAAATAACTAAAAATCAAAGGGAAAATATTTAAATTGAATATAAAATGTTTGGATTTACAAAATTGTTGTATAGTTTTGGTTCTATAGCCTGTGGTATTTGTAACCTTAAGAATTTACGTATAATGTCATGTGATCAATAACAGTTTAATTAAAAGCTTAAATAAATAGTTTCGTCTGTTCGAGGAATTAAAATAATAAATAAAAATACATAATTATTGCGTTGGTTGAAAAAGGTACAAATCAAAACACACAAATTTATTTGCATGGATACCCATTGTAGAAATAGATTGTAAATATATTTTCGGCACTAAAAAGTTGCTTTGGTACACGTACCCTCATATCCATATCCATTACTAGACAATCGTAATTCCCTCCATTTCATTTCAATAAGTCACCAATTCAGATGCGGACGATTAACCAGACCAAGGGCAATATGTCATGCGTTCTGGAGATGGATCATCATTATCATCGCGGTGGAGATCGTGACCACATGATGATGATGATGATGATGATGATGAGGAGGATGATGAGGATGGAGATGGGGATGGTTGCTTTGGTTAGTTGGAGTCATAAACAAGATGGCGTCGTTAATTGACGTGCAGTTTGCCGGGGTACCCAGCCGTAACGAAGGGAAAGAGGGGGGAAGAGGGGGAGAGGGTAGGGGTGGTGTGCCAGGGGCGGAGTCGGGAAGGGGTGCCCTGTGGGCGGCGACCTGTGTGTGTGCGACAATTTGAAGTCATTTGCATGCATTGTGCATTTTTTAATGTGCAACAAATTGTTTTCGAACAGCGGCATGCAATGCTTCGTTCCTGACTTTAACAAGAGACCCCCCCCTTCTTCCCTCTCTCTACTCTACTCTACTCATTTTTTTGTACCTCCAAAACTCGGGAAGTAAGCTTTACCTTGCGATTTGAATGACTGACTGACTGACTGACTGACTGACTGACTGGAGGGAATGACGAACGGACAGGACAGACTGTCGCTGTCTTGTCGTTCGCATTGACAAATTGATATGTCATGTCAAGAAACAATTTCAGACGAAAAGCGTAGCCAAATGTCCCCGAACGAGAGGGCTATAGCCAGATAGACAAAGAGCCACGATAATCACACGACAGACATGCAAAGTCAGCCATCGCCAGGGGGTTAACTGTGGGGCTGGGGGGCGACAAAGGGTTAAGCTGCGCTCTGGGAATGCAATTGAAATCATTACAACAACGAGCGACACGAAACGCAATTGCAAATGAAATAAAATGAATTATAATGGATAAAAATAGTCAGGTAATTGGTTTTATTGAGTAATTGAGTTCCAGTTGCCACCAAATTGTTTTACAATGCTCACGCAAATGTTATCGAAACGGATCGAAATGCAAGTGATGGAAAGGTAGGCAGGTAACTTTGGGTTAAGATACGCATTGGAATGTAGATGGTTTTCATAAGATTAATTTTTATTTACTTTAATAATATTCTAATGCTGGAAGTTAGTAAGAAAATGTATTCTAAACAGAAACAAAATAAAAAATAATTTTAAGTTTGTGTACCAAAGATATTAAAAAAAAGTATATAAAAATATTAAATGTGCCCTAAAAATACGCATTCTGCTATGAAAATAAATGAAAAGTTTTCGCTGGAGTACGTAAATTAAAATTACAAAAAAGAAGTAAAAAAAAGTTACAAACAAAATGAAGAAGAAATGTATCTTTTACGACTGATAAAATTATTAATGATCAATCATTAACGTGAAAAGTCGTTCGTACCCCTTTGGTGCCAAGAATTGAATATATTAATTTGGTTACTAAGGGAAAGCACAATATGTAATGGTCATTTGGTAAAGATATTAAACGGGTGTGCCATCCTATTTAAAAGAATTCAATGCACATTTTATTTGTACCATTAAGGGTCCAAATGGATTATCAAATTGAATTCGCAATGTCACGTCATACTTTTTTTATAACGAAAAGTTTAAAAAATTGTTGACGAAAATCCGTGCAAAGCAGTTTTAATAATTATTCTTCAGAACTGCTGTTTAAGGTCCCTTGTTATTTTCTTTAGAAAATAAAATTTTCTATTCAGTTTTTAGTTTTTTTTAATTTTGTTTTTTTTTAGAAATATTTTTCAAAAATTGCTATATGTCGGAACTTAATCTTGTGTATTTTCTGTATTTGACTCACCGCGATGCGACCTTCCTTCAGATCGAGTCTCATTGCCAAAGCCTCCCGCATAAATATGTCCGGATAGTGGCTTCCCAGAAAGGCCCTCTCCAGCTCCTCCAGCTGCCAGGAGTTGAAGTTGGTCCTGCAGCGCCTTCGCTTCGAGGACTCCGTGTCCTCATCCGGTTCCAGATTGGGTTTGGGTTCTTCATCGCACCGTGAATCGTGATCGGTAGCTCTGATAAAGACTGACTCTTCGCTGTAAGTCTCATCCTCATGACTAGAGTCTTGAAAAGATCAAAGAAAAATGTAAAGTATACTAAAAATTAATTTAATTCAGCATTACCTTAAACTATTAAACTATACATATATGGCTGTTTGCATGAAAGTGTCCCGATTTAAGAAGTCTACTAAATCTATGCTCTACCATAAGGCGATTAGATCGCAAGCCAGCCAGTGATAGCGGGCACAATTAAGTGGAATAGTATCTGCTGGATACCGGCCGAATGGGGTAGTCCCAGGCACGGGGTGTATCCATGAATCCATGAATCCATGTATCCATGTATCCACGTAGCCATGAATCCACGAAGCCATGTGTTATTCCGGGGGAGGCGGTGCCGCTTGTTTCGGTCTCGTTTTATAATTGCAAACAATTAAAGTCTATTTATGCAAATTTCCAAGATATGCGAGAGAGGCCAGGAACAGAAACAGAAACTGAAACCGAAACCGAAACAGGAACAGGAAGTGGCCACGCCCACCAGCCAACCAGCCGCCCCCTCCTGCAAAATTCAGCAGGATATGGAGTTCGAGGAGGAGCGTCGTTTGTCTTTCTAATTTATAGCGGCGCAAATTGGTTTCCACAATTAGGAAGTGGTGGGTGTGGCTCGGATATGTTTAAAGCTCCAAATGGCGGAAGTAAATTACTCCTACAAAACCCCTTTCCCTTCCCCTCCCCCATCCTTCCCCATACGATATCCTATCCCTTTTGCCGCCTTGTCTTTGCTCCGTTTGGTTGCAGTTTTAAGTGAAATTTAATTGCAAAAATTTGCCAGTGCTCGCAGTGCTCCCAGTGCTGCCAGTGCTGACTGGGCAATTACGAATGGGGGAGAATTGGAGGTTTGGTTGGGGCTTTCAGAGATCGACTTGTGGAGCCACTGGCCACTGGTTAACCACATGAACCACAGCCAAGGGGACCCATAAAAGACGCATCTGGGGGGAGGGGGAAAGGGGGCAACTTAACCATCACCCAAAACAGAACAAAAATATAATAAAAATCATAGAGCGGCGGTCTACGTGAGTTTCATTTGCTGAAATGCACACAGATTTTGACAATTTACAAACACATCTGCTAGCAAATCGAAGGAGTCAAGTCGAAAAGAGAGGGGTGTAGCCCAAAAGAAAGAGACGGCCACGACATCAACATCAACCCCTGTTCGACACGACCCAGACATTTTATAGAGTTCACCAAACACCAAACACCGAACACCAAACACAAAACACAACAAAGGGGCAGGTTCCTGACAAGGACTCTGGTCATATCGGTATCGGTCCATCCGACAATGCCCTTACTCCATACCCCTTACCCCTTACCTCAACCCAACTCCCAACCTCATCATCACACTTGAAAGAGTAAATAAAATATAATTCCTCAAGGGTGTTATAAATAAAATTATCTGAATTATGGTTTTTGTTGACTTTGCGACTCCCCGAGAGGAAAAAAAGGAGTGAGAGGGATTTGGACTCGTATCTGGCATAGTACTGTGTGTTCTGTGTGCTCCGTGTGCTCTGCCGCAGCATTTCGGGGGTTTGTCCTCCTAATTTGCCACGAAGATTCCAACTGGAACAGGTCTTTGGCTTTTGTTTTGGGTCTGAGTTCAGGGATTTGGATTCACAGTGGGCCGGGGCACTATAGCAGCCCCATATGTTGGCGCGCAATCGATATGGGGCGTGGCAGTTAATGGCTAAAACATTTGCCGGGCATTTAGAGTTGGCGCCAAGGTGGCTTAAACAGAATGAGACCCCCAAGGATTGATGGGCTAGTTTTTGAGCGACAGAAATCTATAAGGTTGCATTGAAAGAAAAAGGTTGGGTCTAAATACAATGATGATTTTGAAACATATCTAAAATGCCTGAGAAGTAATTAAAATAGATTTTGTAAAGCAGGTACAAGTCAACTGTTAAAAAAAAATTTAAAAAATAAATACAAATCTTTCTATTGCATTCAATTTAAAAATATTTAATTTTAAATATTTAAATTAAAACTAATATAATGATTTTAAAAGCAATGAAAGATTTTTGTTTAAGTTGAATATGGTTCAAATTTTAATTACATTTTCAGTTATTAAATTTATGGCCGAAAATTGTAAACTGACAAATTTTAGAAACATTTAATAATTAATATATCTAAAAGCCGAAGTGGATGAGAACCAAAGAGAAAAATATTTAAATTGATTATAAAATATTTGTTATTTTAAATGTATTTTACGTTGCATATTCAAATGTTTCTTGTTTATTAAAACATACAAAATATAAAAAAATTTAAAATATTTTTCAACACTTGCAAAGGTACATTTATTTAAACTGATAATTCATCAGTTCTGATCATTTTGTATAGTCTTTTGAAATTTACAAAATTTCTCTTTTAATTTATATGTTTAATATTAAGAAGCTAAATTAACTAAAAAATGATAATAAATAAACAATACGTTATAGATATACACAATATAATCTATTGCCAACTCACAAAAATAAATATTTATTCAAGGAATCTATTTCTTCTTTGCCGTACTTATAATTCTCGTAAATGAATTCTATTCATTTATTTCGTTTACAAACTCCTTAAGAGTTTCAACCCCCTTTAAATCCCACACCCCTCCCGAAGTTCGCTAATTAAAAACATTAGCCCAATTTAAATTGGGCCAGCAAACGGAAAATCTGCATCCGAATCAGATGCAAAAAGGCCGCGGCTGAGTAAAAAGGCGATCGACGAAATTACCATATAAACAGTATAAATTGCTGTCTGCTGTCCAGTCGACATTGTCAGACCCAAAACAGAAACACAAGCGCAGAACCCAAAAATCCTAGCGCAACCTCAGAGCCAACCCCAGAACATCGGGCCTCAGCCTCATCCTCATCCTCATCCTTTTGCCCCTTAGTTTTGCCTAATTTCAAAGGTCGTTAAACAAACAAACTCAAGTGGAACAAAATGCACACGCAGATGAAGGAAGGAGGCCCTCGGGACGATGATGATGATGAGCACAAGGACACCAGACGAAGCCGAGGACATCAAATTCAGCCCCGGCACTTTTCACTTTCTGCCTCCAAAACGACCCACAAAAAATTACCCAAAAAATGCCCGTAAAAATCTATAAAAAAAGAGATTGAAACTAGCGTAAGTTAAAAAAATGTGAGGGCTCATTAGCATTTATAGGCCACACAAATGTCGCTGGCTGGGAACAGAGAATCACGAAAAAAAAAACATTTTAGGGTGCTTTCTGAGGTTCATTAGAAGCTTGTCACATGATTTGATTTGCCTGACTCACACCAGCAAAAAACCTAAAAATAAACTATACAAAAATACACAAAAAAAAAAATTAAACGCCCAAAAAAATAGGTGAATCGGAAAGGCAGTTGGATGAAAAAAAAAATGATTACAAGTCAGCTTTAGGCCACATCAGCTATTAAGGCTGCTAATTGTGTGACCCTCAGTTTGGGATTGTTTTCGGCAGAGTCAACCCCCGGGATTGTCACCTAAAAACAAAAAAACAAGAAAGAAAGCAAACTTCGGCAAGCCGAAGTTCATATACCCTTGCAGCTATCGCAAGAATTAAATATTTTTGAAAACATTAAAATTATGATTTACTTGCGTATTTAAACCATAATTCTGAAAAATTTAACCATTGCTATATGTCGAAGAACTAAACAAAAAATTAAAAAACAGCAAAGTTATAATTTTTTTCAATTATTTTTCCGATTGTTCCTATGGGAGCTATATGCTATAGTCTTCCGATTTTGATGAAATTTTAACCATAATTCTGAAATATTTAACCATTGCTTTATGTCGAAGAACAAAACAAAAAATTAAAAAACAGCAAAGTTATAATTTTTTTTCAATTATTTTTCCGATTGTTCCTATGGGAGCTATATGCTATAGTCGCCCGATTTTGATGAAATTTAAACCATAATTCTGAATTATTTAACCATTGCTATATGTCGAAGAACTAAACAAAAAATTTAAAAACAGCAAAGTTATAATTTTTTTTCAATTATTTTTCCGATTGTTCCTATGGGAGCTATATGCTATAGTCGTCCGATCCGGCTCGTTCCGACTTATATACTACCTGCAATAGAAAGACAACTTTTGGGAAAGTTTCATGCAGATAGCTTTAAAACTGAGAGACTAGTTTGCATATAAACGGACGGACAGACGGACAGACGGACAGACGTACGGACAGACAGACATGGCTAGATCGACTCTACTAGTGATGCTGATCAAGAATATATATACTTTATAGGGTCGGAAACGTCTCCTTCACTGCGTTGCAAACTTCTGACTGAAATTATAATACCCTCTGCAAGGGTATAAAAATGGTGCCCGGGATCAGGCACAAAGTCAGACACGCGCCCCGGACACGGGGATTTCCTGCCTTCGAACGCCTTTGTTTCACACTCCACAGAGGTCACATCACTAACCCCTTTTTCCCCGACGCTTTTCATTGCCTGTCAAAGTCGCTTAGTTCCTGGGCACATTGATGGATTGTCCGCGTTTTCCCGGCCTTAACTTGAAGTTGGCAATGCAACTACTTTGGAGTGTGTTAAATTGTTTGTTCACCACATTCTAAACTCGGCGATAACGTGGGAAGCTGGGTATTGTTAAAGCGTTTGAGGGCGAATAAACGCGAAATTTACTAAACTTTAATATTGCACAAATTTGGCTGAGATTCGCCTAAAACTGTAGAACAGAGGAAATTAGCCTTAAAATGGAACAAATACCCCAAAGGTTTCAGCTTTATAAAATGTAATCTTATAATATTTTATAATCTTCTAAAAATATATGTAAAACTCTGACAGATCTACAACTAAATCTTTATACAAGGCAAATCAAAAGAAAAGATAATTACATTAGGTATCCCCAATATTATCTATAGTGAAAGTGATCTTTTAAGAAGTAACCGGACTGGCTTAACGATATAAGCAGTATTTATTAAATTTAAATTATGAAGTTTAGCTCCATAAATTTGTAAATTATGAAGCTAGATAAAGCATTTCTTGTACATAGTTATTCAGT